TGCCTGACTGCTTTGAGCCTGCAAAATAGACCTGTTGTTGTTATGTACCGTCGAGTCAGACCTGACTCATAGCGACCCCTCCTTGGGTTTCCAAGGCAGTATCACTCACTACAGAAGTAGATTGCCCCATCTTCCTTACGAGGAGTGGCTGGTGGGTTTGAACCACCAGCCTTCTGCTTAGCAGTCAAGTGCCTTAGGCACTATGCTACCAGAGCTCCCGTTTCTCTTTATCCAGTAATTCTCTTTAAGAAGATGATGTATAAGTTTATTAAGCTAGCTTTAAATTTTATTAGGTTGAGATTTCTGACTAGAAAAAATAACAATAGCAAGCACATGTGTTATGCAGCTGTTTTTCAGGGGCTCAAGTGTCTTTTATTCAGGACATATGCTTTTCTAATACAAGTTCTATTCATTATACTGAATAACAGTAAGATTAGCTCAAAAGCAATAGCAGTAATTATCATGTTGAGAAACATCTGAATCTGTGTAGAAGTTAACATCTCATTTTAAGGTTTGTGATTAAGTTGAATCTTTGAAATCAGAACATGTCTGTTAAGAGACATAATAAGCAAGCTATTTCATACTTTCCAATAAAGCTGCATTATCAAAATTGTAGAATTCTAATAAGGAGAATGTGAACATAAATTTTGGATCATATAATGCAAATTTCATATAAATAATGAACCTGTAGGATTTAGTACAGTAAAATCTATGAAAACCAGAACCTATATAAAACTATGAAAGCAGAAACCTGTCACAGATGAAAAACTCAAGTATTTTTTACTAAAGAGAGTATTAGAAAAGTGGTGACTGCATGGTGTCAAAGGTGAAAAACTTGCAAGACCCAGAAAAACAAGGCAGTCCTGTTGAGTTCCATCTGTCATAGGTTTCACTGTATTTTGAAGTACCCTGTTTAGTAGCTCTGGTGGCATAGAGACTAAGGCATTTGACTGCTAAACAGAAGGCTGGTGGTTCAAGCCCACCAACCACCCCTCAGGAGGAAGACAGGGCAATCTATTTCTGTAGAAATACCACCTTGGAATCTCAAGGAGGGGGTCACTATGAGTTGGAATTGACTCCACTGCAGTGATTTTTTTTTCCTTAATGAACATTAGGGCTGTGAGGATCATTAGCAGTTTTTGCACCATCTCTGATTTTCACTGGAGCCAGGAGTGAGGAGAGAGGGAAGGATGCTCAAACTAGGTCATCAGCCATCATGTGGTGCAATTTGTCCTTAGGGAGTACAGTATATAGAGCAGAAGACTGAGGCATTAACATGCTTTTCCAGCTCTAGAGAGAGGGCAATGTGTTGACTTATTTGTTCTTATGTTAAAATTTGAAGACATGTAATCTTGAAATAATAATAGGTTGATTTTTCTTTCCTCCTTAATTTTAAATCATTCTGACTATTCACATATAGTAAAACACATGTAACTAGATTCTGCAAAGGAGAAAGCCGATTGACTGTTTTCTTGGTGGTTAAGAGTTAAGTAAAGATTTAAGTGCTGGGGAATTATTTTAACACCCTTTAAAAACTAAGTTTATTTACATTTAATTTGTATTTAATTTTAAATAGGTTGAACATATACTTCATGGTAAAAAAGTACAAAAAATAATTAGAACACCTTTCACCTGTGTCATTCTTATTCCTTTCCTCAAAAAAGGAAAACATTATTAGTATTACCATATCTATTCTATAATAATTTTTATGCTTTTATATTAAAAAAAGAAAATATGCTTATTCCTCCACCTTTTTTTATACAAAGGAGGCATACATTACTCTTTACAAGGTTTTTTTTTTTAATTTACCAATTTCCACAGAGAGCTCCTTGTTCTTTATTGTAGCTGCTGTATTGCACTATGTAAATATAAAATTAGACAGTTCTTTATTTATGAACATTTGGGATGTTCTTTGATCTTTTCTTTGCAGACAAAGTTACAACAAAAACCCTTCTAGATATGTCACTTTGTTCATGTGTAGGATTCACCAGAGAATAATTTCTTGCTTACTGGTTATGAATCACCATTTGACGCTAGGGTATATTAGGAAAGCCTTATCACAAAGCTTTTATGTTCTTAAACATGTGTTTGAGTAAATGGAGTTAAGCAGACGTGACCAAAACGTCTTTAATGTTTGAGTTTCCAGCAACACTGAAAATTATATTTTGTACAGGTCTGACAATTTTTGTCACTACCTGAAGCAGAGCAGTCTTCTCAGTATGATGTTTAGGTTTGCATGGCTGGACATTTAGGAGCTGGTGCCGGTGTGTATGGGTGGCCTCCTCTTGAAATGTCAAATCTCCGGTTATTCAGAAATCCTGAGAGAAGCAGCATCCTGGTATCTAGACAGTTTATGTTTTACTGAAGCAATTGCTTTCTATGTGCCTTGTGTGGTAGGAATGCAATCAAATTTGGATACTTGATGTTCTTCAGGGTATTTATATGTAGATTTATGAAAATGGAGAATTATCATCAGATAAGATAATGAGATAATAATTAAATATATTAGGGTAACATTTGTTAAGTTTTCTGCATAAATATTGTTCTTACCTGTGTATTATATTACATTTCCACTTACCAATGTATGTGGAAATGTGTGTGTTCACATGCACAGTCTAGGGGAACAGCAGAGACTGCATCCGAGGCTATGGTGGTTAAGTTTATGTGTCAACTTGGCTGGGCCTGGTTGAGCGGCTGGGCGGCTGGATATAGTATTCTCCATGATGAGACTGATAATCAACTCCGTGGTGGAATCTATTGTGAGCAGCTGAGTTGCCTTTGGGTATATGGTCTGCTTCCCATACATAAGAAACAGCTTTGGGAACAATCTCTAGCCTATGGCACACTTGGACCCTGCATATAGCTATGTCGTTGTTCAGCAGCCTGCCATGCTCTGCCGACCTTGGGATTTACAGTGGACTTGAACGAATGGCCTGCCATGTGGTTTGGTAACATCGGGACTGTGTCATTTTATTTGTCAACCTTGGGCTTGTTAGCCTCAGCAGCCAGTAGCTGCCTGAGTGATGAGATGCCTCTAGCTTCAGTGGTCTGGGAGCAAGAGGCAGAGCTGAAGCCCAAGGTCAAGGAGCTTTCACATAGCCCCTAGAGCCTGGCACTTGCAATTCGGACTTCTAGCCTCCCGACCATAAGGGAATAAACTCCTGTTTGTTAAGCCCATCCCATTGGTTGTATATTCTTGTCAGAGTGGCACTAGATAACCAAAACAGAGGTCAAGGCCCTGCACATGCTTGGCTCACTTTCTGTATCTAGAAGGATCTAAGGAGAGTGAAAGTGAGAGTGCACTGTCAACAGTAAAACACTGTGTAATGATTAGTATGTGTTATGTGACAGAGTATCTAAGAACATTTCAGGAAATGACATAATAATCTCAGGTATTTTGACAAGTTGTCAAACATTTAGATTACTTTTCCATCATAATAAAAATGATGCTATGAAAGTTATTTTTCCTCTAGGACTTTAATGTCACAGCAGTATTAACATGGTTATTTTTTCTATCTGCTGTGGAAGTAGCAATTTTTGATGAACAACTATTAGTTACTGCTAATAAAGATATTGGATAAATTATTTCTCTCTCTCTTCAAGTATTTTTAAAACAATATGCCATTCAGTCATTTTAGGTGTGAGTTGTTTAACCACATAAAGCAGCAACAGAAAATGAGAACCTTTTCAATTTTTTCCTTTTTTAACTTAGAGTGTATTTTGAATATGTTTTGGCATTGGTTCTTAGAATGTGAATACTGAGGTTTCTTTCTTTATTTTCCTTCAAGCATCAATAGGTCATTTTCTTTTCCTTGAAAAATTAGAGAAAATAATTATTAACTGCTTTTAAAATTATCCTAGATTTCTTTGTTTCCTCAGAATGTGGATGCCATTGGGAATGCCTATGAGAATAAGGATGTTATTGTTGTTAGGTGTTGATGAGTTGGATCTGACTCATAGCAACCCTATGTACAACAGAAAAAAACACTGCCCAGTCTTGTACCGTCCTCACAAAATGTTTATTTTTTTAGTTTCTCATGTCTTTTTCATTCAAATTTAGATTTGTTTTTATTATTTGGCATACTTATTTAAAAACTAGCAGTTTCCTGTTTTTCCAAGTCTCTTTGATATTTAAAGTGACTGAGACATTTGGAATGGCTCCAAAAGGAACAGTTTTTGTATTTTAATATAAAGTAATTTGCTGAGTACCAAGGCATAGAAAGTGAATCATCACTTAGCATAACATTTTAGATAGACTTGGAGTATTAGTATGTGCTTTTAAAAAATAAGCTATTATTACTACTTGACAAAGAACCCATCTCCCCAAATAAAACTATACTATCCATTTCTACATTTGATAGAAAATAGATAGTATAGTCTTAGCAATGAATTTAAAGGGAAAAATGTGAGTAGATTTTCAATGTCTATGAGTCGGGGCCGACTCGACGGCAAACAACAACAACAACAATGATGATGATTTATTAGAGATTAGGAAATAACTCGTCTGCAATATAAATCTTTGTAATGACCAGGCCATCAGCAGGGAAAGGATGGAACGTTTATGAAAAACATATAGGAAGAGGGAAAAGCATATCATTTGTTTTCCTTTTAGCATATCTGATCAATATGTACAGTCAGACTACTAGTCACAGTCAGTTTCTGTACCGATTTAACTGGAAAACTAGAAACTAGGAAATAAATTCAACATTATTTTGCACACAATTTTCATGTTTCTTGGTTGCTAAATCTACTTGTTTCATATACACAATTCTATACTGTACATAAATCTTTTAAAATCAGAACTAAAGCCACTGTTTGTTTTTATCAATTCCAAACATCTAGATATTTGTTTCCAGTTCTCATCTGTATACCTACCTTATGTAAATAAACATAACTTAAATGCATTACTGTGGCCTGTGTTGTTGACTGTGAACCCATGTGGTGGTGATTATAAGAATTTACATCACATATTTTAGTGCCTATATTAATTTCTTTTGCAGTTGAAAAGGGCAGGCAAAAGAATCCCAGAAGTTTATGCACCCAGACACAGACGTCTCCAGATGTGCTGTCTGCTGAAAAAACACTTGAATTGGCTCAGTATAAAGCAAAATGTGAAAACCAGAGAGGATTTATCCTGCAGCTCAAGCAGCTGCTTTCCTGTGGTAATACCAAGTTGGAAGCATTAATCATTGTGATTCAGCACCTACTATCTGAGGTAAGGATGCGTATGCTGTAAATAGTCTTTCTCACTGAGGATCTGGTGGAGGTTGTGGTGTGGGGGGAGGCGGGAACAATCCTCATGCTCATATTTTCTGACATCTTTAATGATTTGGAAAGATCCGATATAATTTATTCAGTTATGCTTTTTTTCCAGCTCTCTTGATATCTGAGCCAGTCTCTAAAAATGTGGACATTATTCTTTTTTTTTTTCTTTTTAATTTTTTATTGTGATTTGGGTGAAAGTTTACAGAGCAAATTCATCTTCCATACAACAGTTCACACACACTTTGTCTCCTGACATGGCCTGCAATCTCCCACAATGCAACAGCTCCCCTCCCACTTCCTCCCCATAGCCACGTCTTCCCTGCGTCCTTCCCTCCCATGCACTCCTACCCCCCTGAGCTGTCTTTCCCTGTGCGTACTCAACCCTTCTATTCTCCCATGACTGATCTCTCCAAGGAGTGTATCTACCTAATGTAAAGTTCACCTCATATGCCTGTCTTGTTTGGCTGGAAGCCACAGGAATGGGTTCAATTCCAGACCTGAAAGGCAGCTAGGGGCCATAGTCTCAGGGGTTTCACCAGGCTCTATCAGACCAGCACACTTGGTCCTTCTTTTTTTTTATTATTTTATGATTTTGAGTTTTGTTCCACATTGTTCTCCCACTCTATCTAGGATCTCCTACAGAGATCCCGCACCAAGTGGTTGACAGTGGTAGCCAGGCACCATCTAGTTCTTCTGGTCTCATAGTCATATAGACTGAGGATTGCATGATGTACCAGTCCCTTGGACTAATTGTTTCTATGAATTTTTGGTTTTCTTCATTCTTTTTTGCTCTGGATGAGGAGAGACCCATAGTTGTATCTAGATGGCTGCTTGCAAGCTTTTAAGATCCCAGTCGCTACTCACCAAAGTAGAATGTGGAACATTGTTTCTGTGTAGTAAGTTATGCCAATTGAGCTTGATGTCCCCTGCAATCATGGTTCCAAGCCCACAGGTCCAACTACTCGCTCCCTGCAGGTAGCTGGCTGTGGCCAAGAAGTGACTACAACCTTATCCCTTGTCAGCTACTGTTGTTGTTATGTGCCGTCGAGTCAGACCTGACTCATAGCGACCCCTCCTTGGGTTTCCGAGGCAGTATCACTACGGAAGTAAATTACCCCATCTTCCTTCTGAGGAGTGGCTGGTGGGTTTGAACCACCAGCCTTCTGGTTAGCAGTCAAGTGCCTTAGGCACTACGCTACTACTATATACCTGGAAATTCTTACATAACATATAAATACACTTATAGAAATGTTGTCTGCCAATCCTATACATGGTCATGAGCACACTCCCCCCTGCATAAAACAAAAACCAAACTCACTGCCATGGAATCAGATCTGACTCCTAGTAACCCTTCCTTGGGTTTCTGAGGCAGTATCACTACAGAAGTAGATTGCGAACCCCCAGCCATCTGCTTGGCAGTCAAATGCTTTAGGCACTACGCCACCAGAGCTCCCTACCTCCTGCATAGACATACCTGATTGTTTGGCCTGTCCACCCATCTATCTACCTGTATATCAGTGTGGAAACATATTCTTATTACTTCCTTTTCTCCCCTGGAGTCTCTTGGTTAGACCAAAAACAGTAGAAAGATAGCTGCCTGTTATCCTCCTCTCTTCATGCCTCTAGATCTACATTATCATTAACCATTTTTTTTACTTTATTTTTAATTATATATACCTTTCAGTATCACACTTAGTTTAATGCTCTGAAAAATGAGATTGTATTTATGGGTCAATGGACATTTTTGAAAGGAGTTCTGGTGGCATAGTCCCTAAGGCATTTGACTGCTAACCAGAAGAATGGTGGTTCAAACCCACCAGCCACTCCACAGAAGGAAGACTGGCCAATCAACTTTCATAAAGATTTACTGCTTCAGAAACCCAAAGGGGGTCTCTATAAGTTGGAATTGACTTGGTGGCAGTAAGTTTGGTTTTCGTTTTGGGTTGGACACTTTTGAGGCAACTTTCATGTCTGGAGACTCTTCAGAATTTCTATCTGTTCCTAAAATAATTTGTGGTACAACAAAAGCAAAGCAACTTTTCTTCATTTCTTACTTTTCCCTGATATTCTGTGGCAATGTTAATTTGAGAACTGGTTACAATTCACTGAGAAAAAGCAAGTTTATATAAACATATGATAACTGATGTAGCAACAAAAACTGCAATTAAACAAGGAAAACTAGGGTGAGAATATAATTTGAGTCCTTTAGCATTTTTAATCACAGTTTTAGAGAGAAGGAGGGTTGGGCAATCTACTTCCATAGTGATACTGCCTTGGAAACCCAAGGAGGGGTCGCTATGTGTCAGATCTGACTTGACGGCAGTGAGATTATTTTTTATTTATTTATTTTTGTAGTACATGGTATCTGAAAGGAAGAAAACTATTAAATGTGTTCTGTCATTCAGATCAATCCAAAAAGCATATATTCTTTTCGTGCAGAGGACACTATGATGTAGTTGCCTGCTTGTGGGGAGAAAAAGATGAATATAACTTAGACATGCCTTTGAGGAATTGCGAGGCTAATAGTTTAGGTCAATAGCTGATGAACCTTTTAGAATTTTGTCCAGACTTTTTTTCTCTTGTTATTTTGAGATGGAAGTGGAGACATTTACCTAGTATTTTAGTTGCAGTGCTGTTGTTAGGTGCCGTTGAATCGGTTTTAACTCATAGTAGCGGTGTGTACAACAGAACAAAACACTTGCCCCATCATCCTGTGCCATCCTCACAATCATCGCCATGCTTCAGCCCATTGTTGGCACCACTGTGTCAATCCATCTTGTTAAGGGTATTCCCCCTTTTCACTGACCCTCTACTTTATCCAGCATGTTATCTGTCTCCAGGGATTGGTCACTTCTGACAACATGACCAAAGTATGAAAGACAAAGTCTAGCCAGTCTGACTTCTCCGGAGCATTCCAGCTGTATTTCTTCCCAGACACGTTTGTTTGTTCTTCTGGCAGTCCATAATACATTCAGAATACTTCTGCAATATCACAATTCAAATACAACAACTCTTCTGCAGTCTTCCTTATTGATTGTGCAGCTGTCACACACATATGAGGCTATTGAAAATACCATAGGTTGGGTCAGGTACATCTTAGTCTTCAAAGTGATATCTTTGCTTTTAAATGCTTTAGTAAGGCTTTTTGCCCCCAATTTGCTCAATGCAATACAGTCGTTTGACTTCTTGACTGCTGCTTCTGTGAGTGCTGATTTTGGATCCAAGTAAAATGAAATCCTTGAAAGCTTCTAATGTTTCTCCATTTATTATGATGTTGTTTATTGGTCCAGTTTTGAGGACTTTTGTTTTCTTTATGTTGAGGTGTAATCCATCCTGAAGGCTGTAGTCTTTGATCTTCATCAGTAAGTGCTTCCAGTCATCTTCATTTTAAGCAAGCAAGCTTGTGTCATCTGCATATCACAGGTTGTTAGTGAGTCTTCCTCCAATTCTGATGCCACATTCTTCTTCATATAGTCCAGCTTCACAAATTATTTGCTCAGCATACAGATTGAATAAGTATGCTGAAAGGATACAACCCTGACATATTTACTTCCTAATTTTAGGACAGCCTTTGGTCTTTGTACAAGTTCCTCATGAGTACAATTGAATATTCTAGAATTCCCATTCTTCCCAGTGTTATCTTTAATTTGTTAGAATTCACACAGTCAAATGCTTTTGCATAGTCAATAAAACACAGGTAAACAAATATGGTATTCTTTGCTTTCAGCCAAGATCCATCTGACATCAGCAATGATATTCCCTGGTTCCATGTCTTCTTCTGAAACCAACTTGAATTTCTGGAAGTTCCCTGTAATATACTGCTACAACCATTTTTGGGTCATCTTCAGAATTTTTTACTTGTATGTGATGTTGTTGTTGTTGTTGTTTGCTGTCGAGTCGGCCCCGACTCATAGCGACCCCTCCTTGGGTTTCCGAGGCAGTATCACTACGGAAGTAGGATTGCCCAACCTTCTATTGTTTGATGATAATTTCCGCATTCTGTTGGATCACCTTTCTTTGGAATGGGCACAAATATGGAGCACTTCCAGTTGTTTGGCTAAGTAGTTGTCTCCTAAATTTCTTGGCATAGACAAATGAGTGTTTCCAGCATTATATCTGCTTGTTGAAACATCTCAATGGATATTCTGTCAATTCCTGGAGGCTTGTTTTTCACCAATTCCTCAGTGCAGCTTGGACTTGTTCTTTTAATACCATCAGTTCTTGATCATGTGCTACTTTCTGAAATAGCCAGTTTATTCAGAAGTGGATGGCCCCATCCTTCCCAGTCTGTCTTAGTCTGGGGACTCTGTAGAAACCTGTCCACCATGGGTGACCCTGCTGGTATTTGAAATACTGGTGGCATAGCTTCCAGCCTCACAGCAACTTTCAAGCTACTGCAGTATGACAGAGTGACAGACGAGTGGTAGCAAAGTGTTCCAGAGATGGTTTATAACTTGGGATGGAAAGTTGTCAATAATTTGACTCAAACATACTAACAATCATGAGGATGGCACAGGACTGGGCAATGTTTTCTTCTAGTCTTTCATATGTAAAGTTGCTGTGAATCAGAGCTAATTCGAGAGCAACTAACAACAATAAACTTTGGTACCAGCTGGCCTTTTACTCCTACTGTCACTGCCCCTATGCACCTGCTATATATTAGGGAGGTGGAAGAGAGAGAAGAGGAAATTAATATTTGTTGAGTATTTACTAAGTACCACATATTCTAAATTACCTTATTAAATCCTCACCAAAACCACAGTAAGCCTAAATTTACAAATAAGAAAATTAGAGCATAGAGTTATTAACTATCATCAGACACCTAGCAAAAGGAGAAACAGGACTTGAACCCAGGTATAGAGTACTAAGAATTGAAAATCTCCCATAAACTTACATACTCTTTCATCCTTTGTTCAAATACCATTATTGGGCTATTGCCCTTCCCCAAAA